TCTTGCCATTAGTCCCCCAGGGAGCTGCTAGTGTTACAGTGGGTTGTTTTGTCTTGCCATTAGTCCCCCAGTGAGCTGCTAGTGTTACAGTGGGTTGTTTTGTCTTGCCATGAGGCCTAGTCCCCCAGTGAGCTGCTAGTGTTGTTACAGTGGGTTGTTGTGTCTTGCCATTAGTCCCCCAGTGAGCTGCTAGTGGTGTTGCAGTGGGTTGTTTTGTCTTGCCATTAGTCCCCCAGTGAGCTGCTAGTGTTGCAGTGGGTTGTTTTGTCTTGCCATTAGTCCCCCAGGGAGCTGCTAGTGTTACAGTGGGTTGTTTTGTCTTGCCATTATTCCCCCAGTGAGCTGCTAGTGTTGTTACAGTGGGTTGTTTTGTCATGCCATTAGTCCCACAGTGAGCTGCTAGTGTTGCAGTGGGTTGTTTTGTCTTGCCATTAGTCCCCCAGTGAGCTGCTAGTGGTGTTGCAGTGGGTTGTTTTGTCTTGCCATTAGTCCCCCAGTGAGCTGCTAGTGTTACAGTGGGTTGTTTGTCTTGCCATTAGTCCCCCAGTGAGCTGCTAGTGTTGCAGTGGGTTGTTTTGTCTTGCCATTAGTCCCCCAGTGAGCTGCTAGTGGTGTTGCAGTGGGTTGTTTTGTCTTGCCATTAGTCCCCCAGTGAGCTGCTAGTGGTGTTGCAGTGGGTTGTTTTGTCTTGCCATTAGTCCCCCAGTGAGCTGCTAGTGGTGTTGCAGTGGGTTGTTTTGTCTTGCCATTAGTCCCCCAGTGAGCTGCTGGTGGTGTTGCAGTGGGTTGTTTTGTCCTTGCCATTAGTCCCCCAGTGAGCTGCTAGTGGTGTTGCAGTGGGTTGTTTTGTCTTGCCATTAGTCCCCCAGTGAGCTGCTAGTGGTGTTGCAGTGGGGTTGTTTTGTCTTGCCATTAGTCCCCCAGTGAGCTGCTAGTGGTGTTGCAGTGGGTTGTTTTGTCTTGCCATTAGTCCCCCAGTGAGCTGCTGGTGTTGTTACAGTGGGTTGTTTTGTCTTGCCATTAGTCCCCCAGTGAGCTGCTAGTGTTACAGTGGGTTGTTTTGTCTTGCCATTAGTCCCCCAGTGAGCTGCTAGTGTTACAGTGGGTTGTTTTGTCTTGCCATTAGTCCCCCAGTGAGCTGCTAGTGTTGCAGTGGGTTGTTTTGTCTTGCCATTAGTCCCCCAGTGAGCTGCTAGTGTTAGTGTGTTGTTTTGTCTTGCCATTAGTCCCCCAGTGAGCTGCTAGTGTTACAGTGGGTTGTTTTGTCTTGCCATTAGTCCCCCAGTGAGCTGCTAGTGTTGTTGCAGTGGGTTGTTTTGTCTTGCCATTAGTCCCCCAGTGAGCTGCTAGTGCTACAGTGGGTTGTTTTGTCTTGCCATTAGTCCCCCAGTGAGCTGCTGGTGTTGCAGTGGGTTGTTTTGTCTTGCCTTTAGTCCCACCAGTGAGCTGCTAGTGTTGTTACAGTGGGTTGTTTTGTCTTGCCATTAGTCCCCCCAATGAGCTGCTAGTGTTGCAGTGGGTTGTTTTGTCTTGACATTAGTCCCCCAGTGAGCTGCTAGTGTTGTTGCAGTGGGTTGTTTTGTCTTGCCATTAGTCCCCCAGTGAGCTGCTAGTGTTGCAGTGGGTTGTTTTGTCTTGCCATTAGTCCCCCAGTGAGCTGCTAGTGTTGCAGTGGGTTGTTTTGTCTTGCCATTAGTCCCCCAGTGAGCTGCTGGTATTGTTACAGTGGGTTGTTTTGTCTTGCCATTAGTCCCCCAGTGAGCTGCTAGTGTTGCAGTGGGTTGTTTTGTCTTGCCATTAGTCCCCCAGCGAGCTGCTAGTGGTGTTGCAGTGGGTTGTTTTGTCTTGCCATTAGTCCCCCAGTGAGCTGCTAGTGTTACAGTGGGTTGTTTTGTCTTGCCATTAGTCCCCCAGTGAGCTGCTGGTGTTGTTACAGTGGGTTGTTTTGTCTTGCCATTAGTCCCCCAGTGAGCTGCTAGTGGTGTTGCAGTGGGTTGTTTTGTCTTGCCATTAGTCCCCCAGTGAGCTGCTAGTGGTGTTGCAGTGGGTTGTTTTGTCTTGCCATTAGTCCCCCAGTGAGCTGCTAGTGGTGTTGCAGTGGGTTGTTTTGTCTTGCCATTAGTCCCCCAGTGAGCTGCTAGTGTTGCAGTGGGTTGTTTTGTCTTGCCATTAGTCCCCCAGTGAGCTGCTAGTGTTGCAGTGGGTTGTTTTGTCTTGCCATTAGTCCCCCCAGTGAGCTGCTAGTGTTACAGTGGGTTGTTTTGTCTTGCCATTAGTCCCCCAGTGAGCTGCTAGTGTTACAGTGGGTTGTTTTGTCTTGCCATTAGTCCCCCAGTGAGCTGCTAGTGGTGTTGCAGTGGGTTGTTTTGTCTTGCCATTAGTCCCCCAGTGAGCTGCTAGTGTTACAGTGGGTTGTTTTGTCTTGCCATTAGTCCCCCAGTGAGCTGCTAGTGGTTTTGCAGTGGGTTGTTTTGTCTTGCCATTAGTCCCCCAGTGAGCTGCTAGTGTTACAGTGGGTTGTTTTGTCTTGCCATTAGTCCCCCAGTGAGCTGCTAGTGGTGTTGCAGTGGGTTGTTTTGTCTTGCCATTAGTCCCCCAGGGAGCTGCTAGTGTTACAGTGGGTTGTTTTGTCTTGCCATTAGTCCCCCAGTGAGCTGCTAGTGTTACAGTGGGTTGTTTTGTCTTGCCATGAGGCCTAGTCCCCCAGTGAGCTGCTAGTGTTGTTACAGTGGGTTGTTGTGTCTTGCCATTAGTCCCCCAGTGAGCTGCTAGTGGTGTTGCAGTGGGTTGTTTTGTCTTGCCATTAGTCCCCCAGTGAGCTGCTAGTGTTGCAGTGGGTTGTTTTGTCTTGCCATTAGTCCCCCAGGGAGCTGCTAGTGTTACAGTGGGTTGTTTTGTCTTGCCATTATTCCCCCAGTGAGCTGCTAGTGTTGTTACAGTGGGTTGTTTTGTCTTGCCATTAGTCCCACAGTGAGCTGCTAGTGTTGCAGTGGGTTGTTTTGTCTTGCCATTAGTCCCCCAGTGAGCTGCTAGTGGTGTTGCAGTGGGTTGTTTTGTCTTGCCATTAGTCCCCCAGTGAGCTGCTAGTGTTACAGTGGGTTGTTTTGTCTTGCCATTAGTCCCCCAGTGAGCTGCTAGTGTTGCAGTGGGTTGTTTTGTCTTGCCATTAGTCCCCCAGTGAGCTGCTAGTGGTGTTGCAGTGGGTTGTTTTGTCTTTGCCATTAGTCCCCCAGTGAGTGCTAGTGGTTGCAGTGGGTTGTTTTGTCTTGCCATTAGTCCCCCAGTGAGCTGCTAGTGTTGCAGTGGGTTGTTTTGTCTTGCCATTAGTCCCCCAGTGAGCTGCTAGTGTTGCAGTGGGTTGTTTTGTCTTGCCATTAGTCCCCCCAGTGAGCTGCTAGTGTTGCAGTGGGTTGTTTTGTCTTGCCATTAGTCCCCCAGTGAGCTGCTAGTGTTGCAGTGGGTTGTTTTGTCTTGCCATTAGTCCCCCAGTGAGCTGCTAGTGGTTTTGCAGTGGGTTGTTTTGTCTTGCCATTAGTCCCCCAGTGAGCTGCTAGTGGTTGCAGTGGGTTGTTTTGTCTTGCCATTAGTCCCCCAGTGAGCTGCTAGTGGTGTTGCAGTGGGTGTTTTGTCTTGCCATTAGTCCCCCAGTGAGCTGCTAGGTGGTGTTGCAGGGGTTGTTTTGTCTTGCCATTAGTCCCCCAGTGAGCTGCTAGTGGTGTTGCAGTGGGTTGTTTTGTCTTGCCATTAGTCCCCCAGTGAGCTGCTGGTGGTGTTGCAGTGGGTTGTTTTGTCTTGCCATTAGTCCCCCAGTGAGCTGCTAGTGGTGTTGCAGTGGGTTGTTTTGTCTTGCCATTAGTCCCCCAGTGAGCTGCTAGTGGTGTTGCAGTGGGTTGTTTTGTCTTGCCATTAGTCCCCCAGTGAGCTGCTAGTGGTGTTGCAGTGGGTTGTTTTGTCTTGCCATTAGTCCCCCAGTGAGCTGCTAGTGGTGTTGCAGTGGGTTGTTTTGTCTTGCCATTAGTCCCCCAGTGAGCTGCTAGTGGTTGTTGCAGTGGGTTGTTTTGTCTTGCCATTAGTCCCCCAGTGAGCTGCTAGTGGTGTTGCAGTGGGTTGTTTTGTCTTGCCATTAGTCCCCCAGTGAGCTGCTAGTGGTGTTGCAGTGGGTTGTTTTGTCTTGCCATTCGTCCCCCAGTGAGCTGCTAGTGGTGTTGCAGTGGGTTGTTTTGTCTTGCCATTAGTCCCCCAGTGAGCTGCTAGTGGTGTTGCAGTGGGTTGTTTTGTCTTGCCATTAGTCCCCCAGTGAGCTGCTAGTGGTGTTGCAGTGGGTTGTTTTGTCTTGCCATTAGTCCCCCAGTGAGCTGCTAGTGGTGTTGCAGTGGGTTGTTTTGTCTTGCCATTAGTCCCCCAGTGAGCTGCTAGTGGTGTTGCAGTGGGTTGTTTTGTCTTGCCATTAGTCCCCCAGTGAGCTGCTAGTGTTGCAGTGGGTTGTTTTGTCTTGCCATTAGTCCCCCAGTGAGCTGCTAGTGTTGCAGTGGGTTGTTTTGTCTTGCCATTAGTCCCCCAGTGAGCTGCTAGTGTTGCAGTGGGTTGTTTTGTCTTGCCATTAGTCCCCCTGTGAGCTGCTAGTGGTGTTGCAGTGGGTTGTTTTGTCTTGCCATTAGTCCCCCAGTGAGCTGCTAGTGTTGCAGTGGGTTGTTTTGTCTTGCCATTAGTCCCCCAGTGAGCTGCTAGTGGTGTTGCAGTGGGTTGGACAGTACTGATGGGGTTCAGGCCTATACTGACAGGGGAATGTCCTTTAGGCCCCGCCCCTTATAATATGATTGAAAAGCCCACTGCTACATCAGACTGGTCATCAATGATATTGATCATGTTTTTGTTTTGTGATCTAGACCTGACTGTGTGATTGTTTCTCTCACTCTTGTTTAGTATTATTTTACATATGCAACAACGGCCTGCATAAAATGTTATGCAACTCATTACCTTGTTTGTTGTCTCTCTCAGCCGACATCATCTCAACGGTTGAGTTTAACTATTCTGGAGAACTACTAGCAACAGGAGACAAGGGAGGTCGAGTCGTCATATTCCAACGGGAACAAGAGGTCAGTTAACTATCAAATAGCCATAAATCAACAGACAAAACAATGTTTTAAGACTAAAACACACCTTGAAAACAACATTTAAGTCGGATTCGACTTAATGTAGCAAACAATATAGGCCTACTAATAATGAATGAATGGTTTTTGTTTATTTCAGAGTAAAAACCGCCCTCACTCCAGAGGAGAGTACAATGTGTACAGCACTTTCCAAAGCCATGAACCGGAGTTTGACTATTTGAAAAGTTTAGAAATCGAGGAGAAAATCAACAAAATAAGATGGTTACCCCAACAAAACGCTGCACACTCCCTGCTCTCAACAAACGGTAAGTCACAGGCTGGCTCTTTTCATATTTCTCATTCCATTAGGTCAGGGTGATGATGCTTCAGCACCACAGACATTCCAAAGAAATGCATATGTTGTGTGCATTGAATATTGAACTCTCTATAGTCTTTTTTACAGACTTGAAGGCCAAGGTGACTGTAAATCTGTGCTAACACTTGACATTTGCCATTTTCACCCACAGACAAAACCATCAAGCTATGGAAAATCAGTGAAAGGGACAAAAGAGCAGAGGGCTACAACTTGAAAGACGAGGATGGAAGACTGAGAGATCCTTTTAGAATCACATCATTACGGGTAATGTCTCCTCTCGTTCATCACCGTTTACTTGGTAATAGTTTTTGAATGATCCCGTTCCAGGGAAATTAAAACCACACAAAGTGTTTTGGAGTGAAAAACACATCGCACCCAATGACGGTCTGATATTCATCTGCCGTTCGTTAGGCGCAGTGTGTTTTTAGGGGTTGTTAGCCGTGCCAAGTACTCTTGGCCGGCAAACGATACATTTACATGTACATTTACGTCATTTAGCAGACGCTCTTCTCCAGAGCGACTTACAGTTTGTGAGTGCATACATTATTTTTACATACTGGCCCCCCCGTGGGAATCAAACCCACAACCCTGGCGTTGCAAACACCATGCTCTATCAACTGAGCTACATCCCTGCCGGCCATTCCCTCCCCTACCCTGGACGACGCTGGGCCAATTGTGCGCCGCCCCATGGGTCTCCCGGTCGCGGCCGGCTACGACAGAGCCTGGAATCAAACCAGGATCTCTAGTGGCACAGCTAGCACTGCGATGCAGTGCCTTAGACCACTGCGCCACTCGGGAGACCAGTGTGTCTGTGCCTTTTTTAAACAGTGATTATGTCATCCCTTCTGATCCATCTCACATATGATTGATTACCTGATTATATGATTGACATATTATTGATATTATTTGTTAGTACGAGATTGACATTTTAAAAGTATATAATATACAGTGCCTTCAGAAAGCACTCACATCCCTTGATTCCTTCCACACCCCGCCGTGCCGCAGGCCGAACCCAACACGGACCAAACTGGGATCCCTTAGTTTAATACATATTTTATATACATATTTTAATAAATCGCCGCCACTGTTAAATTGTTGACGTCACACCCCATAAAATATGGAACATTAAATAATATTTCTGCCAAGGCTCACTTTCAAGATTCTAGAACTCTCTACATTCACTTTTCCTCTGCCAACAAGACTGGTAATGAACAGCAACTCAGACAACCCCATAGTAATATAGATTACATTTACCTAGTCAACTCAGACAACCCCATAGTAATATAGATTACATTTACCTAGTCAACTCAGACAACCCCATAGTAATATAGATTACATTTACGTAGTCAACTCAGACAACCCCATAGTAATATAGATTACATTTACCTAGTCAACTCAGACAACCCCATAGTAATATAGATTACATTTACCTAGTCAACTCAGACAACCCCGTAGTAATATAGATTACATTTACCTGGTCAAATCAGACAACCCCATAGTAATATACAGTTGAAGTCGGAAGTTTACATACACTTAGGTTGGGGTCATTAACTCGATTTTCAACCACTCCACAAATTTCTTGTTAACAAACTATAGTTTTGGCAAGTCGGTTAGGACATATACTTTGTGCATGACACAAGTCATTTTTCCAACAATTGTTTACAGACAGATTATTTAACTTATAATTCACTGTATCACAATTCCAGTGGGTCAGAAGTTTGCATACACTAAATTGACTGTGCATTTAAACAGCTTAGAAAATTCCAGAAAATGATGTCATGGCTTTAGAAGCTTCTGATAGGCTAATTGACATCATTTGAGTCAATTGGAGGTGTACCTGTGGATCTATTTCAAGGCCTACCTTCAAACTCAGTGCCTCTTTGCTTGACATCATGGGAAAATCAAAAGAAATCAGCCAAGACCTCAGAAAAATAATTGTAGACCTCCACAAGGCTGGTTCATCCTTGGGAGCAATTTCCAAACGCCTGAAGGTACCACGTTCATCTGTACAAACAATAGTACGCAAGTATAAACACCACGGGACCATGCAGCCGTCATACCGCTCAGGAAGGAGACGCGTTCTGTCTCCTAGAGATGTACTTTGGTGCAAAAAGTACAAATCAATCCCAGAACAACAGCAAAGGACCTTGTGAAGATGCTGGAGGAAACCGGTACAAAAGTATCTATATCCACAGTAAAACGAGTCCTATATCGACATAACCTGAAAGGCCGCTCAGCAAGGAAGAAGCCACTGCTCCAAAACCACCATAAAAAAGCCAGACTACGGTTTGCAACTGCACATGGAGACAATGATCGTACTTTTTGGAGAAATGTCCTCTGGTCTGATGAAACAAAAATAGAACTGTTTGGCCATAATGACCATTGTTATGTTTGGAGGAAAAAGGGGGATGCTTGCAAGCCGAAGAACACCATCCCAGCCGTGAAGCACGGGGGTGGCAGCATCATGCTGTGGGGGTGCTTTGCTGCAGGAGGGACTGGTGCACTTCACAAAATAGATGGCATCATGAGGAAGGAAAATGATGTGGATATATTGAAGCAACATCTCAAGACATCAGTCAGGAAGTGAAAGCTTGGTCGCAAATGGGTCTTCCAAATGGACAATGACCCCAAGCTTACTTCCAAAGTTGTGGCAAAATGGCTTAAGGACAACAAAGTCAAGGTATTGGAGTGGCCATCACAAAGCCCTGACCTCAATCCTATAGAACATTTGTGGGCAGAACTGAAAAAGCGTGTGCGAGCAAGGAGGCCTACAAACCTGACTCGGTTACACCAGCTCTTGTCAGGAGGAATGGGCCAAAATTCACCCAACTTATTGTGGGAAGCTTGTGGAAGGCTACCCGAAACGTTTGACCCAAGTTAAACAATTTAAAGGCAATGCTACCAAATACTAATTGAGTGTATGTAAACTTCTGACCCACTGGGAATGTGGTGAAATAAATAAAAGCTGAAATAAATCATTCTCTCTACTATTATTCTGACATTTTCACATTCTTAAAATGAAGTGGTGATCCTAACTGACCTAAGACAGGGAATTTTTACTAGAATTAAATGTCAGGGATTGTGAAAAACTGAGTTTAAATGTATTTGGCTAAGGTGTATGTAAACTTCCGACTTCAACTGTAGTTTACGTTTACCTAGTCAACCTGCCATTGTGCGTTCTATGCAATAAATACATATTCCTCTGGAGGCGCATTCAAGTTGCGAGAAGCCACAGGGGGAGAAACATGCGGTCAATTTAAAAATAAATAAATCTGCAATTGGGGGAATAACACTTTTGAAAGCAGTTTTGATGGCCTTTGTTTAAAAAGGGGGTCCCATCTCCCCACTGCTACTACATGTTAGGGCTGGGAATTGCCAGGGACCTCACGATACGATATTATCACCATACTTAGGTACCTGGTAAAATATGGGTTGAATAAAATCAAATAAAAAAGATATGTAATTTGATTCAATATTGCGAGTTTATTGCGATTTGGTGTTCCAAACATACAGTATTGATCACGATACACTCACGGAACACCATCATAATATTGAGTTTTCAACCTCTTTTGCCATCAGGACAGCCTCAATTTTGGGGGGGGGGCATGGATGACAAGGTGTCGAAAGCGTTCCACAGTGATGTTGGCCCATGTTGACTCCAATGCTTCCCACAGTTGTGTCAAGTTGGCTTGGATGTCCTTTGGGTGGTGGACCATTCTTGATACACACGGGAGACTGTTGAGCGTGAAAAACCCAGCAGCATTGCAGTTCTTGACTCAAACCGGTGCGCCTGGTGCCTGCTACCATACCCCGTTCAAAAGCACTTTAATCTTTTGTTTTGCCCAGTCACCTTCTGAATGGCACACATACGCAATCCATGTCTCAATTGTCTCAAGGCTTAAAAATCCTTCTTTAACCTGTCTCCTCCCCTTCATCTACACTGATTTGAAGTGGATTTAACAAGTGACATCAATAAGGGATCATAGCTTACACCTGGATTCACCTGCTCAGTCTGTCATGGAAAGAGCAGGTGTTCCTCTGGTTTTGTCCACTCAGTCTGTTGCAGAGGGAAAAGAGAGTCAGTCATGGAAATAAAAGTGCTGAAAACATATTGGCTCACTATTTTTAAAAGAAGATGGAGAACAAGCAAAATCCAGTAGTTTTAGCGCAGGTACAGCCAACTAGCGCTAGCTAACGCTATCTAGCAAAAAAATGTGTGTGTGTGTATATATATATATATCAATATAGATAGTAATAAGTATTTGTATTTGCAGGTCTCCCACTTAAAAAGATTAGGGTCTGTATTTTCATCATAGGTACACTCAACTTGAAGACAAATCTCAGAATATCACATTGTTGATTTTTAAAATTTATTGCATTATGTTGAAAATAAGTATTGTCACCTCAAACAAGCAAGAATTCGGCTCTCACAGAGTCTTCTTTAAAGCTCCTCTGTCCTCCACTACTGTATTAATGCACTGTTGACTGTTTCATGTATAAAGACACCGTCCCACACTCAAACACTCACCCTTCCACTATGCCAGACCAAAGAGCTGTAAAGACACCAGAAAATTGTAGACCTGACCAGGCTTGGATCCATGGGTAAGCAGTGGTTGAAGGCAACAACTGTTGGCGCAATTATTAGAAAATGGAAGAAGTTCAAAATGACGGTCAATCATACTCGGTCTGGGGCTCCATGCAAGATCTCACCTCGTGGGGCATCAATGATCATGAGGAAGGTGAGGGATCAGCCCAGAACTACACGGCAGGACCTGGTCAATGACCTGAAGAGAGCTGGGACCACAGTCTCAAAGAAAACCATTAGTAGCACACTACGCCGTCATGGATTAAAATCCTGCAGCGCACGCAAGGTCCCCCTGCTCAAGCCAGCACATGTCCAGGCCCGTCTGAAGTTTGCCAATGACCATCTGGATGTTCCAGAGGAGGAATGGGAGAAGGTCATGTGGTCTGATGAGACAAAAATATAGCTTTTTGGTCTAAACTCCACTCGCCGTGTTTGGAGGAAAAAGAAGGATGAGTACAACCCCAAGAACACCATCCCAACCGTGAAGCATAGAGGGGGAAACATCATTCTTTGGGGATGCTTTTTTGCAAAGGGGACAGGATGACTGCACCGTATTGAGGGGAGGATGGATCGGGCCATCCTCCCCTCAGAGATCTGTGCCAACAACCTCTTTCCCTCAGTAAGAGCATTGAAGATGGGTCGTGGCTGGGTCTTCCAGCATGACAACGACCTGAAACACACAGCCAGGGCAACTAAGGAGTGGCTCCGTAAGAAGCATCTCAAGGTCCTGGAGTGGCCTAGCCAGTCTCCAGACCTGAACCCAATAGAAAATCTTTGGAGGGAGCTGAAAGTCCGTATTGCCCAGCGACAGCCCCGAAACCTGAAGGATCTGGAGAAGGTCTGTATGGAAGAGTGGGCCAAAATCCCTGCTGCAGTGTGTGCAAACCTGGTCAAGACCTACAGGAAACATATATGATCTCTGTAATTGCAAACAAAGGTTTCTGTACCAAATATTAAGTCATACAATGTGATTTTCAGGATTTTTGTTTTAGATTCCGTCTCTCACAGTTGAAGTGTACCTATGATAAAAATTATATATATATATATATATATATATATATATATATATATATATATATATATATTTTTTTACAAATATAGATTTTGAGTCAAAGTGGAGGGGGAAAAAGTATTTAGTCAGCCACCAATTGTGCAAGTTCTCCCACTTAAAAAGATGAGAGAGGCCTGTAATTTTCATCATAGGTACACGTCAACTATGACAGACAAATTGAGAAACAATTTTTTCAGAAAATCACATTGTAGGATTTTAATGAATTTATTTGCAAATTATGGTGGAAAATACTTTTTTTCCCCACTGTAATATCGGCCAAAATAATAATGAGATATGTAACTAACTTCCCCCCCCCCGTCACTAAAACATTTCTTTCTCAACTTCAAAAAAAATGAGTGAACTGCACAGTTTTAAAACGTAGTATATCTTCATAATAAAGTATGTTTTTCTTCTAGGTGCCTGTGTTGCTGCCAATGGACCTGATGGTGGAGGCTAGCCCAAGGAGGATATTCGCTAACGCACACACATATCACATTAATTCCATTTCAGTAAATAGTGATCATGAAACGTACCTTTCAGCAGATGATCTTAGGGTAAACCTATGGCACTTAGAAATTACAGATAGAAGTTTTAGTATCCTTTTTAATCAGAAAAATACGGAAAATGTATTTTTTTTTTAAAACAATTTGAACATTTGTTTGTGCCTGCCAGCGTGCACACGTGTCTACCTGTGTGTATCTGTGAGTATGTCTACCTGTGTGTATCTGTGAGTATGTCTACCTGTGTGTATCTGTGAGTATGTCTACCTGTGTGTATCTGTGAGTATGTCTACCTGTTGTGTATCTGTGAGTATGTCGACCTGTGTGTATCTGTGAGTATGTCGACCTGTGTGTATCTGTGAGTATGTCTACCTGTGTGTATCTGTGAGTATGTCTACCTGTGAGTATCTGTGAGTATGTCTACCTGTGTGTATCTGTGAGTATGTCGACCTGTGTGTATCTGTGAGTATGTCTACCTGTGTGTATCTGTGAGTATGTCTACCTGTGTGTATCTGTGAGTATGTCTACCTGTGTGTATCTGTGAGTATGTCTACCTGTGTGTATCTGTGAGTATGTCTACCTGCCCATGTCTTGGTGCTCTTGTTCCTTGATTGTGTCCCCACCCCCAGACATTGTAGACATTAAGCCTGCCAATATGGAGGAGCTGACAGAAGTCATCACTGCTGCAGAGTGCCACCCACACCAGTGTAATGTATTTGTATACAGCAGTAGCAAGGGGACCATCCGCCTCTGTGACACGCGAGCTGCTGCCCTCTGTGATAGGCAAAGCAAATGTAAGTCAATAATATTATTGGTTAACACTTTACATAGAATAATACACTGAACAGAAAAATATAAACGCGACATTGCAACAATTTCAGATTTTACTGGGTTACAGTTCATATGAGGAAATAAGTCAATTGAAATAAATTCATTAGGCCCTAATCTATGGATTTCACATGACTGGGAATACAGATATGCATCTGTTAGTCACATATACCTTTAATTAAAAGGTAGGGGTGTGGATCAGAAAACCAGTATCTGATGTGACCACCGTTTGCCTCATGCAGCGCAACATCTCCTTCACATAGAGTTGATCAGACTTGATTGAGGCCTGTGGAATGTTGTCCCACGCCTCTTCAATGGCTGTGCGAAGTTTGCTGGATGTTGGCGGGAACTGGAACACGCTGTCATACACGTGGATACAGAGCATCCCAAACATGCTCAATGGGTGACATGTCTGGTGAGTATGCAGGCTATTGAAGAACTGGGACATTTTCAGCTTCCAGGAGTTGTGTACAGATCATTGCAACATGGGGCTGTGCATTATCATGCTGAAACATGAGGTGATGGCGGTGGATGAATGGCACGACAATGGACCTCAGGATCTTGTCACGGTATCTCTGTGCATTCAAATTGCCATCGACAAAATGCATTTGTGTTCGTTGTCTGTAGCTTATGCCTGCCTATACCATAACCCCACCGCCACCATGGGGCACTCTGTTCACAAAGTTGACATCAGCAAATCGCTCGCCCACACAACGCATTAAACGTGGTCTGCAGTTGTGAGGCCGGTTGGACGTACTGCCAAATTCTCAAAAAAACGACGGAGGTGGCTTATGGTAGAGAAATTAACATTAAATGATCTGGCAACAGCTCTGGTGGACATTCCTGCAGTCAGCATGCCAATTGCACGCTCCCTCAAAACTTGTGGGATTGTTGTGACAAAACTGCACATTTTAGAGTGGCCTTTTATTGTCCCCAACACAAGGTGCACCTGTGTAATGATCATGCTGTGTAATCTTGGCAAAGGAGAAATGCTCACTAACAGGGATGTAAACACATTTGTGTGAATGAAATATTTCTGTGATCTTTTATTTCAGCTCATGAAACATGGGACCAAGAATTTACATGTTGCGTTTATATTTTTGTTCAGTGTATATGCCATTTTTATCCATAGTGACTTACAGCCATGCATGTATACGAAGTAGTGAACTTCCATCCAGTTACTTGCAGGTGCAGGCAGGGTTCAAAAAGAAGGATGGACACTGAATGCTCCTGTCATTTTTATTGAGTGCAATAAATCTGGGATCTCTCCACAATGTATTGGTTATCTACAGTATCTTCAACATTATTATTATTATTATTATTATTATTATTATTATTATTATAGCCCTGATAAGAGAGGAGCATCAGTGGTGCGCTTGCTTGTGTTCTGGGTCACATACAGTGCATTCGGAAAGTATTCAGACCCCTTGACTTTTCCCCCAAAAAAAATTACGTTACAGCCTTATTCTAAAATTGATTCAATTTGTTTTTTCCTCATCAATCTACACACAATACCCCATAATGACAAGCAAAAAACAGATTTTTAGAAATGTTGGCAAATTGTATAAGATAAACTGAAATATTACATTTACATAATTATTCAGACCCTTTACTCAGTACTTTGTTGAAGCACCTTTGGCAGCGATTACAGCCTTGAGTCTTCTTGGTTAGGACGCTCCAAACTTGGCACACCTGTATTTGGGGAGTTTCTCCCATTCTTCTCTGCAGATCCTTTTAAGCTCTGTCGGGTTGGATGGGGAGCGTCGCTGCACAGCTATTTTCAGGTCTCTCCAGAGATGTTAGATTGGGTTCAAGTCCGGGCTCTGGTTGGGCCACTCAAGGACATTCAGAGACTTGTCACGAAGCCACTCCTGCGTTGTCTTGGCTGTGTGCTTAGGGTCGTTGTCCTGCTGGAAGGTGAACCTTCACCCCAGTCTGAGGTCCTGAGCGCTCAGGAGCAGGTTTTCATCAAGGAGCTCTCTGTACTTTGCTCCGTTCATCTTTCCGTCGATCCTGACTAGTCTCCCAGACCCTGCCTCTGAGAAACATCCCCACAGCATGACGCTGCCACCACCATGCTTCACCATAGGGATGATGCCAGGTTTCCTCCGGACGTGATACTTGGCATTCAGACCAAAGAGTTTAATCTTGGTTTCATCAGACCAGAGAATCTTGTTTCTCATGGTCTTAGAGTATTTAGGTGCCTTTTGTCAAACTCCAAGCAGGCTGTCATGTGCCAGTTACTGAGGAGTGGCTTCCATCTGGCCACTCTACCATAAAGGCCTGATTGGTGGAGCGCTGCAAAGATGGTTGTCCTTCTGGAAGGTTCTCCCATCTCCACAGAGGAACTCTGGAGCTCTGTCAGTGACCATCGGGTTCTTGGTCACCTCCCTGACCAAGGCCCTTCTCCCCCGATTGCTCAGTTTGGCCGGGCGGCCAGCTCTAGGAAGAGTCTTGGTATTTCCAAACTTCTTCGATTTAAGAATGATGGAGGCCACTGTGTTCTTGGGGACCTTCAATGCTGCAGAAATGTTTAGGTACCCTTCCCCAGATCTGTGCCTCAACTCAAACCTGCCTAGAGTCTCATACGGTGATGGAAAAAGTGCTCAATTGTCATACTTGAGTAAAAGTAAAGATACCTTAATAGAAAACGACTCAAGTAAAAGTGAAAGTCACCCAGTAAAATACTACTTGAGAAAAAGTCTAAAAATATTTGGTTTTAAATATACTTAAGTATCAAAAGTTAATGGAATTGCTAAAATGTACTTAAGTATCAAAAGTAAAAGTCTAACTCATTTCAAATTCCTTATATTAAGCAAAACAGACGGCACAATTTTCTTGTATTTTTTTTTTATTGACAGATAGCCGGGGGCACACTCAAACACTCAGACATAATTTACAGACAAAGCATTTGTGTTTAGTGAGTCCGCCAGATCAGATGCAGTAGGGAATCTAGTGAAGTAAAAGTTCCCAAAAATATAAATAGTAAGATATTCCCAAAAAAACGACCTAAGTAGTACTTTAAAGTATTTTTACTTAAGTACTTTACACCACTGGTCTCATAGCAAAAGGTCTGAATACTTATGTAAATAAGGTATTTCTGTTTATTTTTAATACATTTTCTAAAATTTCTAAAACCTGTGTTTGCTTTGTCATTATGGGTTATTGTGTGTAGATTGATGAGGGAAAAAATTGTTTTAATCCATTTTAGAATAAGGTAACAAAATGGAAAAAGTCAAAGGGGTCTGAATACTTTCCGAATGCACTGTGTATAGCTGAAGAACGCTACACTGTTCTCTTATATCCAGGCAGAGATGAGTTTTGAAAACTGGTCGCTGGATTTGCTATTCTTGTAAAAATTGCAATTCTGAAAAGGTTTACTTGTATCTATGCTTGTCCTGTACAACTGCGGCCCTTCCGCAGGGTGCTGAAATTCATACTTTTAATAAAAACTTGTAGCGAATACAACCACCGACTGTTTCCTCATTACTACGTCAACTGAGATTAAATTGGGTCCGTGCTATCCGGCATCCTTGGGACATCCATACCCCATTTTGAAGTTGACATTTTAAATGGTTAAGGTAAGGTTTAGGGTATGGACGTCCCAAGGATAGGAGATAGCACGGACCCAATTGAAACTCAGCTTATGTAGTAAGAGCGATGAGGGAAAAGTCGGTGGTTGTATTCGCTAAAAGTATGAATTTCAGCACCCTGCGGAAGGGCCACAGTTGTACAGGACAAGCATAGGTAGAGCTAATCGTTTTCCAAATTGCCATTTTTACAAGAATCGACTGATGGTGGCTCAATGTTGTTGCTAGCAAATCCCGCGACCAGTTATCAAAACTCAACTCCGCCTCGATATGAAAGCACGGAGTTGAGCGTTCCTCGACTAAGTCAGATCATGTGTTTTCACATACAAGCTGTTTTACTCTGTTTTCACAATAGTCTCCCTCTGTTTAATGTCAGCAGGTGATGATGATGTAACAAACAGAATGATGTAATCCGTCTAGTGCCCTCTCAGCTCTTCGGGATAGTGGGACAACTGTCAAGGAATATAGGCTTTGTTTCGGCTGATAGAGCTTTCATCGTTTAGTTATAGACTAGGGTTGTATAATGCGTTATGATGCAGTTACAATGAGTTGTAAGACTTGTCATAAGCATGAATGATTCCTCTATAACGTCTTATTAATTATCACGTAATGATCCTTCAGTTGAACGACAGTGAGGCTCATACGTGGTTATATAACAAGTTATAAAGCATTATACCTGCAGGCTTTAGGTAAAGTGTAACCTGTCTTCTAGGAGATGGATGTAGGCCTGTTTTTGATGCTCGTGTCGTCCTGTATGGCTTTAGGGAAAGTGTAACCTGTCTTCTAGGAGATAGATGTAGGCCTGTTTTTGATGCTCGTGTCGTTCTGTATGGCTTTAGGGAAAGTGTAACCTGTCTTCTAGGAGATAGATGTAGGCCTGTTTTTGATGCTCGTGTCGTCCTGTATGGCTTTAGGGAAAGTGTAACCTGTCTTCTAGGAGATGGATGTAGGCCTGTTTTTGATGCTCGTGTCGTTCCTGTATGGCTTCAGTTGGTAGAGCATCAAATCACATTTTATTTATCACGTGCGCCGAATACAACCGGTGTAGACCTTACCGTGAAATGCTTACTTACAAAGCCCTTAACCAACAATGCAGTTTTAAGAAAAATACGAGAGAAGGAAAAAATATTTACTAAATAAACTAAAGTAAAAAATAAAAGACCAACAATAAAATAACAATAACGAGGCTATATACAGGGGGTACCGGTACCGAGTCAATGTGCGGGGGGTACAGGTTAGTCGAGGTAATTGAGGTAATATGTACATGTAGGTAGGGGTAAAGTGACTATGCATAGATAATAAACAGCGAGTAGCAGCAGCGTACAAAAAAGAAAGAGGGGGGGGGTCAATGCAAATAGTCTGGGTAGCCATGATTAACTGTTCAGCAGTCTTATGGCTTGGGGGTAGAAACCTTTTGGACCTAGACTTGGCGCTCCGGTACCATTTGTCGTGTGGTAGCAGAGCGACCAGTCTATGACTAGGGTGGCTGGAGTCTTTGGCAATTTGTAGGGCCTTCCTCTGACACCGCTTGGTATAGAGGTCCTGGATGGCAGGAAGCTTGGCCCCAGTGATGTACTGGGCCGTACGCACTACCCTCTGTAGCGCCTTGCGGTTGGAGGCCGAGCAGTTGCCATACCAGGCGGTGATGCAACCAGTCAGGATGCTCTCGATGGTGCAGCTGTATAACTTTTTGAGGATGGTGCTTGAAATGCCAGGATTGTGGGTTTGATTGAAATGCCAGGATTGTGGGTTTGATTACCAGGGCCACCCATACAATAAAATGTATGCATGCATGACTAAGTCACTTTTAGATAAAAGCATCTGCTAAATGGCCTATATGAGATATATCATTATTTTAGTGTTTCGTTAACATTTTGAACTGGTTTGGAATGGTTTATTTATTTGTTTACCAGTCTTCGAGGAGCCAGAGGACCCTAGCAGCCGGTCCTTCTTCTCAGAGATCATCTCGTCAATATCTGATGTGAAGTTCAGCCACAGCGGCCGCTACATGATGACCAGAGACTACCTGTCAGTCAAGGTGTGGGATCTGAACATGGAAAACCGGCCTGTGGAGACCTACCAGGTACTGACTGGAACATTACCTGTAGAGACCTGCCAGGTACTGACTGGAACATTACCTGTAGAGACCTGCCAGGTACTGACTGGTACTTTACCTGTAGAGACCTGCCAGGTACTGACTGGAACGTTACCTGTAGAGACCTGCCAGGTACTGACTGGAACTTTACCTGTAGAGACCTGCCAGGTACTGACTGGAGCTTTACCTGTAGAGACCTGCCAGGTACTGACTGGAACTTTACCTGTAGAGACCTGCCAGGTACTGACTGGAACTTTACCTGTAGAGACCTGCCAGGTACTGACTGGAGCTTTACCTGTAGAGACCTGCCAGGTACTGACTGGAACATTACCTGTAGAGACCTGCCAGGTACTGACTGGAGCATTACCTGTAGAGACCTGCCAGGTACTGACTGGAACATTACCTGTAGAGACCTGCCAGGTACTGACTGGAGCATTACCTGTAGAGACCTGCCAGGTACTGACTGGAGCTTTAGCTACATTCCTCTGGCTATGGAGCAGTATGTTGTGTAGTAGTATGTTACTACTAGTCAGCCGTTTTTTATCACATTTGAATGAATTGCAGTGGTATGAAAACAGCCAGAAACTATATGTATTTGTTATTTTGTTAAATCTTTTAAATTCTTGTCTCAAGAATGAAAGACAAAATTCCTCTAAAAGGCCAAATAAATGAATGGAATTGATCTGTACTGTTGTTTTTAATGTGTTATTTGGTATAGGTGCATGAATACCTCCGCAGCAAGCTCTGCTCGCTGTACGAAAACGACTGCATCTTCGACAAGTTTGAGTGCTGCTGGAGTGGTTCTGACAGGTACGGCAAGCCAATGGACATAGGACTTCAGAATCAGGTTGAAAGTTATGTACTGTCTCATAAATGGACCCACAATATTTACATTTACGTCATTTAGCAGACGCTCTTATCCAGAGCGACTTACAAATTGGTGCATTCACCTTATGATAGCCAGTGGAATAACCACATTACAATTATTATTATTTGTAATTTAAATGTAATTGTTTATTTTTATAGTTTTTGTTTAAAAAAAAATAATACAATACACAAATTAAACACCTGCGTTACAATCAGTCACAGTATATATATATGGACAAAGCCATGGATCATGTGACACCATTTGTTACTATGTGAAGACTCGACAGCGCATTGAAGCCAAGTAGTCAGTTAAGACGGCATCTCATGGAGATATAACTTTTGCAGTTTGAGCTACGCCAGGAAGTGATGTTGCAGGCTAGCTCAGTGCTTCCCCCTCTCAGTGAGTAACTAGTTGAAGGCTGCCATTAACAACTAAATTATCCTTAACTTCTGTGTGTGATTTATTTAAATAATCGGTTCAAGGACATACATCTGGTGTATTAGAAGCAATTATTGGTACCATAATTGTCTTCTAAACATTTTATTTACACCAAGATTGACCACAAAGATTGATAGTTTTCCATTCATATTGGGGGATCATGTTTTCTGCTAACAATGCCTGCAGTACCACAGTCGGCCTTGAACCTCTGTGGCTTCAATGAGAGGGGGCAGTCGTTCTCACCTGATTACAATTCACACCTGCAATCGACTTCGAGCCATGATGACTTTACAACATTACTCTTCTAGAACCATGATGACTTTACCACATTACTCTTCTAGAACCATGATGACTTTACAACATTACTCTTCTAGAACCATGATGACTTTACAACATTACTCTTCTAGAACCATGATGACTTTACAACATTACTCTTCTAGAACCATGATGACTTTACAACATTACTCTTCTAGAACCATGATGACTTTACAACATTACTCTTCTAGAACCATGACGACTTTACATTACTCTTACCCCTTTGATGGTTTTCTTCCTTTACACTAGATAAATAAATGCAATATAACTTTATACGAGCGAAGGTGAACCTTTGCCCCAGTCTGAGGTCCTGAGCGCTCTGGAGCAGGTTTTCATAAAGGATCTCTCTGTACTTTGCTCCGTTCATCTTTCCCTCGATCCTGACTAGTCTCCCAGTCCCTGCCACTGAAAAACATCCCCACAGCATGATGCTGCCACCACCACCATGCTTCACCATAGGGATGGTGTCAGGTTTCCTCCAGACGTGATGCTTGGCATTCAGGCCAAAGAGTTCAATCTTGGTTTTATCAGACAAGAGAATCTTGTTTTAGAATTCTTTAGAGGCCCTTCTCCCCCGATTGCTCAGTTTGGCTGGGCGGCAAGCCTTGGGAAGAGTCTTGGTGGTTCCAAACATCTGTGTTCTTCAATGCTGCAGAAATGTTTTGGTACCCTTCCCCAGATCTGTGCCTCGACACAATCCTGTCTCTGAGCTCTAGGGACAATTCCTTCGACCTCATGTCTTGAGTTTTGCTCTGACATGCACTGTCAACTGTGGGACCTTTATATAGACAGGTGTGTGCCTTTCCAAATCATGTCCAATCAATTGAATTTACCACAGGTGGACTCCAATCAAGTTGTAGAAACATCTCAAGGATGATCAATGGAAACAGGATGCATCTGAGCTCAATTTCGAGTCTCATAGCAAAGGGTCTGAATACTTATGTAAATAAGTTATATCTGTTTTTTATTTTAATACATTTGCCAAAATGTCTACAAACCTGTTTTCCCTTTGTCATTATGGGGTATTGTGTGTAGATTGATTGAGGCGGAAAAAATAATTTAATCAATTTTAGAATAAGGCTGTAATGTAACAAAATGTGGAAAAAGTCAAGGGGTCTGAATAGTTTCCCAATGCACTGTAAGTCTAATAATTATACATGGTATTTATATAGAGCTTTTCAAGGACCCGAAGTCACTTTACAATTGTCTACATTTTTGGGATTCACCTTGTTTTGCTGTTCCTCCTCCCCAGTGCCATCATGACGGGCTCGTACAACAACTTCTTCCGGATGTTTGACCGGAACACGCGGAGGGACGTCACGCTGGAGGCCTCTAGAGAGAACAGTAAACCTCGGGCCATCCTGAAGCCCCGCAAGGTGTCCACCGGGGGAAAGAGGAAGAAGGATGAGATCAGCGTAGACAGTCTGGACTTCAACAAGAAGATCCTGCACACCGCCTGGCACCCAAAGGAGAACGTCATCGCTGTCGCCGCCACCAACAACCTCTACATATTCCAGGACAAGATCAACTAAAAACGTAAAAATCTCCAGTCCCTGAAACTGTTCCAACCTTCCCGAACCCAGCCATCATACCTACCTACCTACGAATGGACAGAAATCTTGTACGTTGCATAGTTAAAGAATAGTCGTTAAATCTGTTTTTAAAGAAACAACAACAGCCTGGTCTGTCCTCCTAATGAAGAAGAAATGTTATGCACTTGTTTTTCGATGTGTAGCCAGCCAGCCAGACGCCTGGTCGCCTGCTGGAGTCAGACGGTCTGTTTTCTTTAGAGTCTGAGGTGTTGGTTGGTTGGTTTGCGTCCTGTCTCGTTGTGAGGGCAGACCGAGGCAGACAGGAGCCCCAGGTCTGACTCTGGACAGACTAGCCCGGGCCTGACTGCAGCAGAAATATTGATGGACAGCACTCAACGAATAGGCCAAAAAAAAATGTCAGTTTAAAGTTTGTGTATTTATTTAAAAGTCTGAGCCTTGTTTTACTTTCTATGATTTGACAACCCAAATGATGGAATCGCGAGGAAAGATGTTGTGACGTCGTGTTGAAGTCGGAACGAGATGTTATTAGTCTCTTAACTGTAAATCTGGGCCTTGGAGAAACTGAAATGAAATTAGCTTGATAAGTAGGGTTGCAAATTCCCAGGTAACTTTTCTTAAAATTCCCAGGTTTTTCCAGAAATCCCAGTTGGAAGATTCCCGGAATCGGTAAGGAATGAGCAGGAAATTCTCCAGGAATCCTCAAAACCTGGATTTCTGGAAATGTTTGGAAAGTTTATGGGAAATGTTGCAGCCCTATTGATAACATTCCTCCTCCCTGGCCCGACTCTCTCAGGCCTCAGTGTTTAAATGCTTAAACACAGGTCTCCATGTTTGGTCAGTGGACAGTTGTTTTCGGTTATTTTTTTTAGTTTTTATCCTTTTTTTTCTCATGCATAATAACATTTATTCACTGACTGTATCTATATAACCACACCGTCTGGTGTCAACCACTTAATAAAAATAACGAAAACCACAACGACGAGCTGCGTTTTTTACATTCAGAAATTAATCTGGGTTTCTTCTGTTCTACTTACTACTCATTCAGCCTATATTGAAGACTCAAATGACAATGGTAGATGTGGACAGTCAACCTACTTTGCCACCCAATGCCCTTTTCTAAGGCACCTGATTCTCGGTTATTAAGCAGCTCACTACCGGAGCTTGTGAGAATCCTGTTATTGGCTAAGTCAGTATTGTCATCTTAGATCCTGAAACTCTACATTGTAGTCCAGTAAAAACAAGATGGTTTTAAGAAGGATTCTACAGCCTTTAGCTCTTGAGGGGGAAATCCCAGGTGATGCTCCCTGCAGGTTGCAACTGTACCAACAATGTTTAAGTTAATGTAACGGCACCCGATATGTTCTACAGAAGACTATTCTACTTTTTAAAGTTTAGTTTGAATGTGTTTGTCCTGTATGAACCCTGGTACAGTCTGGATCCTGCGGTCGGTCTGCAGTAAAGGAAGATGGTTTACTGTCATGTCCCTCTATAATGCAGACATCCATCCTCTCCTTGCCTCTCCTTCAGCTGTACTGATCTGGAACCAGGTAACAGCCAGCTTCATGGTGAGACCTGTCAACCAGGTAACAGCCAGCGTCATGGTGAGACCTGTCAACCAGGTAACAGCCAGCTTCATGGTGAGACCTGTCAACCAGGTAACAGCCAGCGTCATGGTGAGACCTGTCAACCAGGTAACGGCCAGCTTCATGGTGAGACCTGTCAACCAGGTAACAGCCAGCTTCATGGTGAGACCTGTCAACCAGGTAACGGCCAGCTTCATGGTGAGACCTGTCAACCAGGTAACAGCCAGCTTCATGGTGAGACCTGTCAAGCAGGTAACAGCCAGCTTCATGGTGAGACCTGTCAAGCAGGTAACAGCCAGCGTCATGGTGAGACCTGTCAACCAGGTAACAGCCAGCGTCATGGTGAGACCTGTCAACCAGGTAACAGCCAGCTTCATGGTGAGACCTGTCAACCAGGTAACAGCCAGCTTCATGGTGAGACCTGTCAAGTCTTTTCCAATCAGTGAAGATAACAGGAGGAGACTAGGAGAGGACCGATTTTTAAGACAATTGAGAAAGAGCCATAGGTCATTCCTGCCCAACTAGATGGGCAGGCGTTGCATTTCATCCACTGCAGTAAGATAATAAGATAATATGCCATTTAGCAGACGCTTTTATCCAAAGCGACTTACAGTCATGCGTGCATACATTTTTGTGTATGGGTGATCCCGGGGATCGAACCCACTACCTTGGCGTTACAAGCGCCGTGCTCTACCAGCTGAGCTACAGAGGACCACAGTAGGGCAACACATTCCTATATATGATGTGGTTGGCCGATATGTTAAATACCTACCCAGGAACTAGTAGGGGTGAATTAAGTCTTCTGTTGAATGACCCTGTTCCTTGTTTTAATGCTAACATTGTGGAAATATATTCATCTGTTTTGATTATTTGTGACTAAAGGTAAATACATTTTAATTTAGTTTACTGGAATAGGAGTTAAGAGTTTTTACTTGTTGCTATGGTAGGCGTATGTGTTGTTTGAAATATCAATTTTGGTATGAACGACCCATTCAGTAGTACAAGTTGTTGGTGAGAATACACTGTTGGAAAAAAGGCAATTTTAGTAAAATGTGTCGACTGACATTTTGGATAATTACGTTTTCCTTGTATGGTTTACAGAAACAAGCACAACAGAGAGAGGTGGATATTCTTAAGATGGAACCATTTTATTTTTCAGATACAGTTCCAACTGTTCATACAAAACCGTTTCCAAAGTCACATATACACTTGACATGGTGACCAGCTCTACAAGACGTGCAGAAACAGATTGGTAATGCCTTTTCAAGACTTGGCATAGAACAGTCAAAACACAGAAGGTTCTCTGTTGCTCTTCATTAGAACAAAAATACTGAAGCGTTCTGGGTACTGAGATTTGGGACTTAATTCAGTAACGTATAAGGAAGACACAAAAGATTTCTAAATTCACTCATAATTCCAAGTGTGAAAGTGAATATTTTCCCCCTAAATATTTGATTTGGAGATTTGTGGTCTTATGCAATAGTGGTAGAAAAGCTGTTTGTGTATTTCAAATTGTCATGCAGGCAACATCACCAGGTAATTTAAATGCCACCAACCATACAACAGTTTTGGTTTACATTTGGCGCCACATCCTAATGTACACCATGTGCAATTCTAACCGTAAACATCCATATTCAGTGAATGTGACACATTGTTGTCACTGAAAACAACCCTGAGTGAAAGGTAACACCAAAAAACTGAAAGGTGCCGACAGAACCAAAATCCTTACGCTCCTGTTTTGACCTAATCTGGGATCTGATGGAAGATACCCCATACCTTGATTCTCCAATACATCCACAAACTCTTATTTCAGGGTTTATCTATTTCAAACCTTTTTTCCCCATTTCTGCTGACACCTTGTTTTATTATTAAGGCCTCATGATCCATGAGAAGAATCAGGGTCAGAAATAACATTTTGGTTGAATGTCTCGATCCCTTTTCCCCAACCAAGGACATTTGATAAAACAATCACTACGTCATCATCTTACAAGCAACAGCCCCCTCAAATTCAACTTCCAGTTTCAACTTCCAGCTTTTGTCTAACCCATTCCCTTTCTGTCCCATACATATCTCAATGCTGAGAAATTCACAGTGCTTTCCTGTATCGTCATTTTAATATCATTATCTCAAAGGTCTTCTACAAAAAAAATTCTCAACTCGGAGCAAGACAAAAATGGCTTTAAAGTGACTTGACTGAACGCTAGCTAGCTGAAGACAACGATGGCTCTTAAACGTTGATCATAAGATGCCCCCCCCCCCCCTTACCCAGAGATAGTCCAGTGAGATGGAAGAGGAACACTGGGTTCTAAAAGCAGCCCTGGGAACTAAGGGAAAAGCCAACAGTATTCACAGGGGTACAATACGGGATACAGGCAGGGCGGCTCACCGCCAGGGGGAAAAAAAGGGGTCCTGCGTCCCAAATGGCACCCTAATCCCTATATAGTGCACTACTTTTGACCAGAGCCCATATGGGAACTGGTCAAAAGTAGTGCAGTATGTAGGGAATAGGGTGCCACTTGAGACCTCTAGGCAGTGGGGCTGGGGGACACATGACGGATGTTGCCTATCGGTATCTAATAAGCATCACTTCAAGCCAAGCAGCAGTGGTAGATAATAATGGTGTTGTTCCAGTCCAGTGGACTGCCCCTTTAGAAGGTATTGGTCACGGAGGTAGTGAGACGTCTCCCAATGTACACCCTGAGGACAGAGGGGGAAATAACATCAAACACTAGTTCAGTTTTGTACATGGGCCTACGGTTTTGTACATGTGTTGCCAACTTTATTTTGTGCAATATTTCACTTATATTTGTCGGTGGTTAAGAGTTTCTTGAAAATCAGCAAGGCATTCTTTAGATTTTTCACTCTACAGTCCCCAGTGTATTTTTAAAAAAAAAATTTACTAGGATCCCCAATGAGCTGCTGTCGAGGCTGCGGCTCCTCTTCCTGGGGTCCAAACAGGAAACGCAACAAATAAAATACATAATATACAGCACTAAATTACAATTTTGTCATCTAGCAGACGCTCCCATTCAGAGAGACCCACAGCTAGTGCATTCATCTTAAGAGAGCCAGGCGAGACAACCACATATCACAGTCGTATCCCAACCACGTATCACACACACAATAAAAATCAAAATGCATAAAAATGTCTGTCTCTTCATAGCCCCCTTTGTGCAGTAAGGTGTTTTTGAATCTGGTTTTATTGCCAGCTTGAGTTACCTGGGGTGGCAGAGAGTTCCATGTAGTCATGGCTCTATTTAAAACTGTGTGTTTCCCAGCCTCTGTTCTGGACCTGGGGACTGTGAAGAGATCTCTGGTTGCATGTCGCGTGATACCGATGAGTGTCCGAACGGTGTGCCAACTGCTTGAACAGACCGTTCGGTACCTTCAACACATCAACACCTCGCACAAAGACCAATAGTGATGCAGTCAATCTCTCCCTCAACTTTGAGCCAGTAGAGATCGACATGCATGTCATTGACATTCGCCCCCTCCGTGTACACTTTTTAGTGCAATGAGGCTCACAGCTCAAACTCTTGATTGGTGACTAAAGTGGATCACCCATTCCATTCTTTCCACAGTGAGCTGCGGCCATAAAAAGTAATACCATCTGGATCTGGGGCCTTAGCAGCACAGCTGAACAAACTGAACACTCACCTGCAAGAATGCACCTCTAGTCTACTCTGTGTACTCTCCAGCACGTAGATATAGTTGATCATAGAAATACTATAGTTTAGCCTTGTAATTCTATTTACATCACTTTATTGCTCAAGGGCACAACGGCAGGCAATGGCATATAGGATCTGATACCAGCAAACCCCCCCCGGCATCTAGGATCTGATACCAGCAACCCCCCCCCTCCCGGTTGCCAGCTCACTTCCCAACAGATTATTCCCGTCGGACCCGGGATTCGAACTGGCCACCGGTTGCTGACTCGCCCCTCTAACGGCTAGGCTACCTGCTGCCCCTGGTATCTATGGTGGAGATGGGACAAAATAGTACACTGATCACCAAACTAGATTTGTGTTACTGTCGTCTCTGTGCAGATTTGATCCCATGCAAACATACAAGAGAAAATTAAAAACAGATCTATTTCACGTTCCGCTCTTTTACCCTTACGAATAATACATTCTTCATAATTAGCTTTGTTTTCAAAAGGTTTTAAAAAAATCAAAACTCACCCCAGACCGACGGCCAGTACGTGGGATATGAGCAGAGACGGAAGGAAGACCTTGAGGAACTCGGCAGAGAAGATACCTCCGCTCTTCATGACGCTGGTGTTTCTGATGCTGAGCGGGTTGGAGCGTTTAGGATGCTTCAGCACAAACTCCCTGGATCCAAAAGACAGAGAGCACATTAACAATGTCCCTGGAAGTGGTTTGGGTAGAAAGGAATATCAAGTTCTGTTCTATTCTATTTAATTATATAATAGTATAGAGTAAATGAAATAATTTGTATTAAATTATATTCACTATTTTCTATTCTAAACTGGGCTGAGCAGAACTTAATTGAAAACACATATGAATAGATATGACCCGTCTGTCTGGGATACGGAGGGTAAATATTGAGGGGGTACTAACTTGCGTTGAATGTTCTCCGGTCTACTCGACCAGTCCCAGATCCAGTCTGCGTTCTTCTTCATCAGGTTCTCCACTTCACGTCTCCGTTCTAGGTAGTCTTCTTCAGACTGGAACAGAATATAAAACAACTTTTTATTTGTCAATTTGTTACAACGGGAAACTGGTCTTCTGCTCTGCTCTCAACCTCCGAGTGAAAAACTAGAAATGTAAAAACAATATATTGCAGAACTTGAAATATTAGGTTATAACCTTTTTTAGTTTTATAACCTTTGAACCACCCCACTGTGCCTCACCAACTACTTTGAGATAGTGCCCCACACAGAGTTGAATAGAATGGTATTATATTGAATCTATGGTGCCCCTGGTTAAGGACTCCAAACCTGTGAGCTGTTCTTCTCTCCTGAGCTGTGTCCTTCTGAACCCCGGCGGAGCAAAGGAGTCTGGGGTCTTGGAGGACTGGTGGGGTAAGACGCAGACGGAGAGAGACAACATAAGTATTGGGAAAAGCCCCTCTGACGGATCTCTTTGTGTTTTCATCATGACGTTCTTCATCTATTAATCTGATCTAGAAATGTATAGAGGCACTCATACAGATGAAGGATAGAAGGTCAGCGACGGTGAAGATGTGACAGGTCATTATAGTACATACCGTATTATAACTCCAATGTATGACAGTGTCTCCTATCTCTTAGTCCTTTGTGTTCAGGTGACTAATCAAAATGATTGTGTCATGTGACGGTCTATATGGCATGTGATTGGTAGAGGGGCACCTGTCGCAGGGCACACTGCCCCTGGAGCTGCTTCTCCCTGACTCGTGCTGGGCGTCTAACAACATCTTCTCCAAGTCCACCCCTCCCTGGACTGACCCTGACCCAGGAATCAGGTCACCTCCCTGGGTAGAGGCAGAGAGAGACCCAGGCAGGACCGACGCAGTCATCAGGTCTCCGCCGTGGACTGAGGCAGAGGCACCTGACCCAGGAATCAGGTCACCTCCCTGGGTAGAGGCAGAGAGAGACCCAGGCAGGACCGACGCCGTCATCAGGTCTCCGCCGTGGACTGAGGCAGAGGCACCTGACCCAGAGCCTGGTACCTCAGTGGCAGAGCCTGACACCTGCTCTTCCTCCACCCCAGCAGCCCCATGCGCTGGTGAGCCACCACTGCTGCCATTGTTAAAGTGCAGCTCCACCCAGGAACCTTAAAGAAGAAAAATTAACATGACAAAATGGTGCAGAACATTGAGACATAGTTCATAATGACAGTCATAAGGCATGTATTAACAGCCTTCATGTACAGTGGGAGTGGTTTAGGAGGTGTGTGTGTATGTGTTTAGCCTAGATAGCATGGCACAGTCAGCCATTGCTAAATGTTTTGTTCTTTAAATAGTACCTGCCCAGGGCCCACTGCAGTCTGTGCCCCCCTTATAGCTCAATGATCCCTGTTCTCTGCCCTCGTTTTCCCTTCCTGTGTGTATCCAATAGGAAAGAGACGTGTTCAGCCCTCCTCCCCTTTATAGGCTGGCTATCCAATAGAAAAGCGACGTTCAGCCCCTCCCCTTTATTACATCATCCAGAAGCACACAACAGGCGGCTGGGCAGAATCTGGTTTGTTGTGTTCCTTATCATTGTTGCATTGAACAATGCTAAAAATAGCATCATTACAGCATTGAGAATACGCATTCCGAACACTGCGCTGAGGTCAAGATCGACTTTACATCACCACAATTACCCATTAGCTTGCTGACAATGTTATAGGCCTGCCCTATAGCCTAACGTTACCTGTCCTACCGTCTGATCTGTAGGACAGTCAGGCAAGACGAGGAATACAGACTTTCGTCATAGATCTACCACCGCTGAAGAAACATTGTTGTGATACAACGTAGCAACAAATCATATCGTTAGAATTGTGTCCCCTCGGCGCAACACTGTTTCACCATATGTACAATGACGTTGGCTACAGATCTCCTGAAACCGACAAAAGCATGGCATCCTGACTATACTGCGAACATACCGTCCGTTTTATTAAAATTATGAAACATGCCATGCCATTATAGACTACGAGACAGCAATGAACTTACCCTGTAAATTTTCCTCGGTGACGCTTTGTTTGTCCTCAGTCATGTTGGTAAACAAGGGACGCAATGCGTGTTTGATTGACTCCCCTTCGCGTCGCGATCGTTCGAGTCAAACGCCCTAAATAATTGTAAGAATCATGTAATTACAAATCCGAAGCTAGACAATATTATTCCGATGCCTCTGAATTGGGAGAGAGGTTTACATCGAGTGCAGACCATTCAAAAAAGCACTAGGCTACCAGAACAACAACAAGCATGTGACAAAACGTGGTCAGCTGTGTAGCCCTACATGAATATCAAATCTGGTCCATTATCACTGGTGTATTCATTAGTTTTAAATTCCGTTTCAAAACGTTTCGTCTGTTGCGAAACGTTTTGCAAAGGAAACTGTTTTAAAAGAAAACGAGAGTTTCTATTGGACACATTCAAGTAGATCCCTCCCCGTTCGTTCGGTTTGCTCTGTGCATTTGCTTCCGTTTGGTTCCTAGAGTAAACGGTAAACGGTTTCTATTGCAAACCGAACGTTGAAACGTTTTGCTGTGTGACGCAACTTTTTATTTATTTATTTTTTATTTCACCTTTATTTAACCAGGTAAACCAGTTGAGAACAAGTTCTCATTTACAACTGCGACCTGGCCAAGATAAAGCAAAGCAGTGCGATAAAAACAACAACACAGAGTTACATATGGGGTAAAACAAAACAAAGTCAAAAATACAACAGAAATAAATATATATACAGTGTGTGCAAATGTAGCAAGTTATGGAGGTAAGGCAATAAATAGGCTATAGTGCAAAATAATTACAATTAGTATTAACACTGGAATGATAGATGTTCAAGAGATGATGTGCAAATAGAGATACTGGGGTACAAATGAGCAAAATAAATAACAATATAGGGATGAGGTAGTTGGGCGGGCTAATTTCAGATGGGCTGTGTACAGGTGCAGTGATCGGTAAGGTGCTCTGACAACTGATGCTTAAAGTTAGTGAGGGAGATAAGTGTCTACCCCAAAGATAAGTGTGTCCCACTGTACAAGTGTCTCTGTGCTGTTGGCCTAAATGAACGCTTTATGTGATTGGTCCAGAAAGGACAAGACGCCGTAGAGCTAGATGTATCCAAACAAGAGCACGCTTGTGTAGGCCTAAATACCCTGATGTGATTTCTGATATTGTATCATAATACCGGTGCACACAGTGAGCTTTCTAGCAAACATGCGGTAAATCTGGCAACACTGGCAGGTTTCATCCATAAAGGTAGGCTACAATGCATGTAAAAACAGCCTTCACCTGTTGGCCTTATCAAGACCATCCAAGACTATTGGAGTTGTGAATGCAATGAGTTTTTGTGATAATGATAACACATGTCCTCTACTTTGTAGTCTATGGGTTGTAGATATACCATAACAGCTCTCACAAGCTAATGTCTATTTAATGTTTACTACTTGTGGAGTCCATATAGAGTTGTGAATTCAGTCATGCATTGGTCCTCTGTAGCTCAATTGGTAGAGCATGGAGCTTGTAACGCCAGGGTTGTGGGTTCGATCCCCGGGACCACCCATACGTAAAAATGTATGCACACATGACTGTAAGTCGCTTTGGATAAAAGCGTCTGCTAAATGGCATATTATTATTATTATTATTATTTGTGAGAAATATCATGTCCAGTTAATCAGACTGATCTGAGAATGTGTTCTCTGATGCCCTCTGCAGGATCCGTTTGTCCTACTGTATCCTCTATCAGTATTCCATCACAATGGCACCCTCCCCTGTATCCTCTATCAGTATTCCATCACAATGGCACCCTCCCTCCCCTGTATCATCTATCAGTATTCCATCACAATGCCACCCTCCCCTGTATCCTCGATCAGTATTCCATCACAATGGCACCCTCCCTCCCCTGTATTCTCTATCAGTATTCCATCACAATGGCACCCTCCCTCCCCTGTATCCTCGATCAGTATTCCATCACAATGGCACCCTCCCCTGTATCCTCGATCAGTATTCCATCACAATGGCACCCTCCCTCCCCTGTATCCTCTATCAGTATTCCATCACAATGGCACCCTCCCTCCCCTGTATCCTCTATCAGTATTCCATCACAATGGCACCCTCCCTCCCCTGTATTCTTCATCAGTATTCCATTACAATGGCATGCTCCCTCCCCTGTATCCTCAATCAGTATTCCATCACAATGGCATCCTCCCTCCCCTGTATCCTCCATCAGTATTCCATCACAATGGCACCCTCCCTCCCCTGGATCCTTCATCAGTATTCCATCACAATGGCACCCTCCCTCCCCTGTATATTGTATCCTTCATCAGTATTCCATTACAATGGCACCCTCCCTCCCCTGTATCCTCCATTAGATAAGATGCAGACAGATAATAACACAGCCCTGGCTGAATACGCCCTGGCTACTTCCACATATAGCAGCCTGAAATCATGACATCTCTTGTCAAATTAGCTCTTTATGGTGAGATACAAAAAGGATTCCTCCCTCAACATTCCTCATTATTGTAATACTATTTTTTTAAAATGTTTCAACGTTGTTCATGGTGGGTCCCCCTCTCCTCTCTCTCTCTCTCTCTCTGTAGTGACGCGTCTGTGTGCTGTGGCGGAGTGGAGCTGCAATGACACTGCAGTGGCCAGCGGGTGGCTGGAGCTGGGCTGGAGCCTGACGGAGGCTGCGTAGAGGCAGGCAGAGGCTGGCAATCAACACATCCCCCCAGAAGGGGAGCCAAGCTCACAACACACAGCTCACAGACACGGCATACAGCACAGAGCATCACTGGCTAGGCACGCAGCATGTGCGTGTGTGTGGTGTGCTCGCAGCCTCCAGCACCACCTCCACCTCCTCCTCCTCCTCTGCTTCCTGTCTCCTACCGGCTGCCTGGTTCCCTCGCTCCACCAGGGAGGGGTGTGTGTTCACGGTAAGCATCACAGTCCTGCTCAGACCCTTCCTTCCTCTCTTCAAAATGCTGCTCTGAACTGTATTTTTCCCTCTCTCTCTTCTTTTCTGCCTCCTCCCTTTTTTTGTGTGATGAATCCCTCTCCTCTCTCTGCCTCCGTTATTCCAGAGATTGTGGGTGCTGCTGGGTGTGGAGGCTAGCTAGCCAGGGATCGCATGCAGGCAGCCTCCCATCTTTATCCTCTATTAGCAGAGAGAACGAGAGAGAGATGAGGTCTGTGACTGAGGGAAGCAGATCTGGCTGTACGGTAGAGATACTAGAGAGATAGACATGCAGCAGACTGATATGGCTGTACGGTAGAGAAACTAGAGAGATAGACATGCAGCAGACTGATCTGTGTTCATTTTAAGAGCTTGTGCCACAGCTCACAGCAGAAAATGGTGATTCTAGCACAGTTCCCCAGCTAAGGCAGGCAAGGGAGCAGACAGACAGACAGACAACGTTAACGTCACAAACTGGATCATGGTTTTAAGGTTGGTCTAACTCTCATCCTACGCTTGTTTGATTTCCTGTTGGATAGAGGTAGAGGTAGAGAGACATAGAGAGGTAGAGGTAGAGAGAGAGAGGTAGAGAGAGAGAGGTAGAGAGAGAGAGGTAGAGAGAGAGAGGTAGGAGGAGAGAGAGAGAGAGCGGTAGACGAGAGGGACGGTAGAGCGTCTCTGTCGCGCTGCGCGCTCGAGGTAGCGCGACATAGCGCGCGTAGCGCTCGCGGCTCGCGAGTCGCGCGCGGAGCGCGCCGGGCGCTCTGCGGATCCGCGCTCGCGCGCTGCCGCGCTCCGTCGCGCTCTCTAGCGCGGTGCGCTCGCGCTCCGCGGTCGCGGTCTCCTCGCGTCGGTCTCGCCGCTGCGCGCGCGATAGAGGTAGGGAGAGAGGTATAGAGGTAGGGGTAGAGGTATGCCAGAGGATGCTGCAGGGTGGAGTTGTTGCATACCTTCTGCTATCTGTGTGTGTGATGTGTAACTGTGTCTGTGATGTGTGTCTGTAACTGTGATGTGTATCTGTGACTGTGATCTGTGTCTAACTGTGATGTGTAACTGTGTATGTGATGTGTGTCTGTAACTGTGATGTGTATCTGTGACTGTGATGTGTAACTGTGATGTGTATCTGTGACTGTGATGTGTGTCTGTGATGTGTATCTGTGACTGTGATGTGTGTCTGTGATGTGTATCTGTCAGATAGCTTGTTGTTCTTCAGTATAATGATGATGAATGTGGGCCTTGTTGTGTGTTAAACCTCTCTGTCAGTAGAAGCTGCCGCAGCATCTATCTCTCTATGCAAAACAACATGGACCCAGCCAGCCAGAGATGTTGCTCGGGTCACTCCACTCTCTGCCAGCCAGAGCATGATGTAATTGTTTTGACAGGCACAAGATCAAGACTGCTTGCAATTTGTATGTTGACTTACAGTGTGTTAAGGATGTACTCTGAGGCATGTTTCCTATGTTGTGTTTCAGGAAAACATACTGTAGTTGTTCTGGTATATAGAGACAGTTGAAACATACTGTAGTTGTTCTGGTATGTTCATGTGTGTAGAGACAGTTGAAACATTGTAGTTGTTCTGGTATGTTAATGTGCTGTATTACTGCAGGTCCTAAATCCTTCCAGAGTGTTCCATGTGTATTAGCTTGTGATGCTCAGATCTCTCTTCTGGAATCCCTCTGTTGGGGAGCATTGGGAGGTTCCTTTCTCAGTGTCACGTCCATCGTCATTATGCATTGATCTTTTTGTTGTTGTCATGTATTCAGATACGTAATGCTGTGGTTAATCCAGACAACACTTTTAGAATTGGAGAGGGCACTGACACAGACCAAATAAGTGTGTTTGGTCACAGCACAACTCTGTGGTCACTGTGGTGGGGTATTTAGTCAAACCTTATTACAGAACAACTCTGTGGTCACTGTGGTGGGGTAGTTAGGCAAACCTTATTACATGTGTTCTCATGAAACTATCAATGCATTTGGGGAGTATAATCACCTGGACTCATTCAGAACAGAGGAAATATTTAGGTTGATTCAACCGAATTCATTACATTTAGATGGCTAGTTGAATTCCTTAATACGTTAGTTAGGCAATGTGTTTCTGGTTTCTCTCTGGGTCTTGTCAATATAGTTTTATTTAACCTCAAGGTGTCATGTTAATTTGGGTATAAGCCGGTTGTTGTACAATTTGAAGGGTAATTTGATTTAATTGGTCTAAATCTGCATTAATTTAATAATTCCCATCCCAAATCCATGTCAGTCTAGGGTTAACTACTGCTAGGCATTATTTAAAGATAATACTGGGCCTCAGAAATTCTGAGTGCAGGGAAACAGAAGAGAACAAAATAATTAAAATGTGCTTTTTGTGTTGTTGAATATCTGAATTAACCTGGGACCTGTTGAATATCTGAATTAACCTGGGACCTGTTGAATATCTGAATTAACCTGGGACCTGTTGAATATCTGAATTAACCTGGGACCTGTTGAATATCTGAATTAACCTGGGACCTGCAGCCTGACAATTTCAGTTTAGTCCCAGG